CCCCTCCCCCCGCCGACAGTGACTGACGGTGACCGGCCATCGCTTTGCTTTCAGGGGTTCACATCCACACCTGTGTTTCTGAAACAGTGGAGTTAGTTTGATCTAATTTTGAACTTTTCATAAAAGGGATCATACAGCACGTATTTTCTGCATTTGGCATCTTTTGCTTCCAGGTCGTGTTTTTATGTAACACAAATCATAAGCACGCAGCTAGATGTGTGTTCATGGAGTGAACACACTCCTGTGACCAGCACTCAGCTCAGGAGCATTTCACCTCCAGGTCCCCAGGCCCGTGTGTCCCCTCCAGCACTCACATCCCACCACAGAGGCAGACTGCCACACCACCCGCTGACGCCGCTGCTCTGTGGTCTGAGTCGCACGGAAGCTGCTCGGGCCTGTGCTGCTGGCAGCGCTGTCTGCGGGCCCCGGGCCGCCGAGGCTGTCCGTGTACTCTGGGACTGTGCCAGACAGGCCTGTGCACTCTGCCATGGGCGGGCACCTGGGGGTCCCTGCGTCAGGCTGCCGTGTATCGTGCCGTTAGGGACGTTCTCGTGTGGTGGGAACACTTGCTGGGCCCGTCTGCCAGGCAGCTACCCAAAGTGGCCGTGGCATCTTCACTTCGCCCAGTGCCATGTGCCGCCCGGGGGTTCCACAGCCCCCGCTGCCATCCGCTGTCGTCCGCTTGTTTCACGGTAGCCTTTCCGTGTGTCGGTGTCGTCGGGTCAGGCTGTGGTGCTGATTGTCAGGCGTGGCGTTTTCCCGGTGACTAGTGAAACTTCGCTGTGCTCGCTGGTTATGTGCGTCTCTTGCCCTGTCGGATCGCTGAGGCGCCCTCCTTTCCACGCTCAGATGTGTGTCTTTCTGGACGCGTGTTCTGCGGTGTCATCTTCCGCCTTGGGGCAGCACGTGACTTGTGGCTCTACGTAAATGCAGAGTCTTACTAAGGAACCCAGTCTAGCTGTGTTTTCCTTTGTTACAGTGCTGTTTGTTCTATTTAGGAAGTCTTTGCAAACCCAAGGTCACAAAGATATTCTCCTTTCTCGTCTTCTGAACACCGGTTTTACTTTGCGCGTGTCCGTGGTACGGCGCCTGCGTGGTTTGTGCGCGGTGCCCTGCTGTGTGCCGGGAAGCCGGCCCTTCCCCCGCGGTGCTGCCGCGTCCTGTAGCCTGTGTTTCTGGACTCGTTCTGTTTTGGCCGAGTGTCGCCGTCTGCGCCCCTGATCCGCGGTAGCCCCAGCCCCAGGACGCGCCCTAAGATCTCCACGAGCGTTCTCGGCCCTTCGCATTCCACGTGAACTTGAAGACCAGCTCGCCA